CTTCTCGGCGAGGGTGGAGCTGCTGGATGTCGCATCCTGGATCTTCTCGACTAGGGAGGGTTCATCGGACTGTGGGGTCTCGGTGGAGAGGGTTTCGCTGAACTTGGAGAAGTTCTGGGTTTCTTGCTCGCGCAGCTTCTCGAGCTCGGCGGTTAGGCGTTCCTGGTACTGGAGTTCCTGCTGTCTTGATCGCGCCGAGTCTGTCTGCACGTGTGTTAGCCCCAATCCGCCATATTCAGCCATTGGACGTACGAAAGTGTTCTTCTGCAGCGATCCGACGAGTTCATTGGAGAAGCTGTAGGGGTGATCTCTGCGCGCAAATTATCAGCACACGACGTCACCGGTTGATTCATCTCTTATGAGGGGTTGGAGCCATTGGATGTGGGAGATGCGACGTACGAGGAGAAGACATGCTGCTTGACCTCCGACGAGGGTTTTGAGTTCTCTGCGCCCATGGTTGCGGTGGTGGCTCCTGGGGATTTCTAGGGCGATGATGCTGTTCCTGCAAGAAGTCGGAGCTGACGGCTTGGCCGACGAAAGCACGCTAGGAAGCATCCCTGCAAACGATCCGAGGGCGCGTCAGGGAAACACCAGAAGTCTCTCCTCATGTTTATGTTTGTGGGTTGCGCTTCCATTGCTTGACAATTCACAACCCATCGCGAGCATACAACTTTAGCAACTCGCTGTTGTCCACGTGACCATCCATTGGCTATCATTACCCAAACCACGACCCACGACGACATCATCACAGCCAACCCAGCCCCTCTCTGCCCGCGATGCAGTCCTCCTTAAATAACTGGCTCAAGAAGCCAAGCCTCGATAAACAACCCGCGCCGCCCTCAAACGCTCCTCCAATGGCATCATCAAAGACGAACCGGCCACCGCCTCCCCCAAAGTCTGTCTCTGCGCCGACGCGCGTTCCCTCTAACCCGACCCCTACGGCCTCTGCCATGGAGAACTGGAACGACATACCCGACGACTTCCTCCAAGCACCCTCAAGACCGCGATCAAAGAAGAGTCCTCGCCCTTCTCGAACAGTTACGCCTGCTATCTCGCGCATACCCTCGCCCATCTCCCTATCTACCCAACAGCCAGCCATCCCGAAGCTCTTCGACCTACGCCCTCTACCACCGAACGTGCAACTCGTGCCCCTCACCGAAGACCTACTACCAGCATTCAAGCGTCTGAATACCCTTACTTTACCCATATCCTACCCAGAGACCTTCTACAAGGAAACCATGACCGAGCCACACCACGGCATTACCCTCGTAGCCGTATGGCACTCGTCGCCCACGAAAACCGACTCATCCTCGTCCACAGAGAAACCGCATCTCGTCGGTGCCGTCCGATGTCGCATACTTCCTTCCTCGAACCTATACATCTCCACTATTGGCGTCCTGGCCCCCTACCGCTCGCACGGCATCGCTATGCATCTTCTACAGACGATAGTAAAGAAAGCCGTCGAGCTTCACGGTGTACGCTGTGTCACAGCACATGTGTGGGAGGCCAACGAGGAAGGCATGGAATGGTACAAGAAGCGGAACTTTGAAATACTCGAGAGAGAAGAGGGATACTACAGGAAGCTGAGGCCACAGGGCGCCTTCCTTGTGAGGAAGTGGATCGGTGTTGGAGACCTTCTGGGAAATGGTACTCAGCAACAGAATGGAGCAGGCGGTGAATGATCAGGTACTGCCGTCCGGTCACGGACAGTAACTACCGTTCATTTTGTCCATGTGCCTCTCAACGCACTACTGCCACCACGCGCCTAGAGCCTTCTCGAGCAGTGTCAACCCCAAATGCTGGCTTAGCATGCAACAAGCCCACTTTTCTGCATCTCAATTATCCGCCCCGGATTACGGCACAATCCTGCGATCGTCTCAAGCGTTGCGCGGGTTTCCCGTCGAGTGTTCCGGCAACCAGTCTCACTGCTTGTATCGAACAATCTATCCTCTCGAAATATGGAGAAGGGAAACGAATCACGATCGCTCTGGGGTGAGTGCGAGTCTGGTGTTGGGACATGGGTCAACTGGGTATCAATTTGCGGCTAAAACGTACCCCAGTCTATAAGCGTGGCCATGGATAAGAATAGCATCAAGGACAGTCGCGAAGCATCTCGGAACGCAGGCGAGCTTCGATTTGCCTTTAGGCAAGGACCTTTCGTGCAAGGCTTGTAGCTTTGTGTCGTGGGTAACCCGTCTCAGAAACGCTCTGCAATACACAGCAACAAACGCGGACATCTCCATAGATCGCAGCGCATTCTATCTGTCCAAGGCTTCCAAATGCGTTTTTTGAGTGCTTTGTCGTATTTGGCTGACTGGATGAGATCTCGCCATGCTTGACATTACCTGTACCGTCACAATGGCACACAAACTCGCTAGCCACAATATAGGCGAATGCAAGAGCAGATTGGGATGGCCTCGTATCTGAGCTTGGCCCTGGCCAGACTGCATGTCTACAATGGAGCCGCGGGTGTTCAGAACAAGAGCCAGAAAGCCATCATTGAGCCTGTCGTTGACTTCCTAGACTTGAACCGACTAGTAGCATAAGATCGTGGATATAAGATGCTGTCGCTGTCCCATCAATTCAGACCCCTCAGCTGGATCAGCATCTTTTTCACGAATACATTCCTATCCGACTATCAAATCACCATGCAGCTCACCACGCTTGCGCTTTTGACAAGCCTTTCGGCAGTATGCTTTGCGGTAAGTAGCTCGATACTCGCAATGGTGGCTCATACTGACTCGAAATAGGCGCCAGCAAACAATCATGTTGACATCGTGCCTCGCCAGACGTACATAATTACATGCATTGGAGGCCGTTGCACCGACAACATCAGCCGGCCTACATCGGGTGTCCCGCAGCCGACGACAAGCAAAGTTACAACGACAACGACCAAGAAGCCAGAGCCGACCACATCAAGCAAGAAGCCCGAGCCAACACCTACAACCACTTCGAAGAAGCCGGAACCCCCCAAATCAAGTACGAAGCCAGCACCAACGTCGACCACCACGACCAAGAAGCCTGAACCGCCCACGACTAGCAAGAAGCCAGAGCCTACCCCGACAAAGGTGAGTCATTGTAGTCTCTCATCGTGAATACATACTAACCTCCTTAGACTACTATCAAGACGACTACAAAGACTACCGAGAAGCCCACAAAGACCACCACTGAGGAGACTGGCCCAAGCAGCACGAGATGCCCTGTACCTGCTTACTACAAGTGCGGAGGCTGGGATTACACTAAGCCTTGGGACGGGTGCACGGTTTGCGAAAAGGGTTCAACATGCGTGGAACAGAACGGTATGTGGACACTAATGCGTCGTTCTTCTGCTACGAAACTAATCTTTGTTAGAATGGTATTTCCAGTGCGTGCCAAATGATGCCATTGTAGCGGAGTGATGAGATGGGTCGGCTTTCACACGCGTCTGAATGGAGAGTACCGCAAACGTCGTCGCATCTATATCTGCCCAGGCATCTTCAGATTGGGAGCAGTTCCGTCTCTGTACCAAATGTCAGCCAAGATACCTCACACTTGTCTTTTACCTTCGCGCCACTTTGCCCTTCCTTTTGTGGTAGTGAATGCGCTCACCATATACTCGAAGCCATCTTACATTCAAGCTTCTCAACAATGCGATGACCAAAGCTTACTGTGCGCGTCGAAGCATGACAAGGCGCGTGTAGCGGATATGGTGGGGTAGCTCCAACACGTCCCTGGCACGCCCCACCATGCTAAATAATTCCCCATACGAACGTCATACCTACGGATTGAACTCCGGTAGCTGCCGTGATGGTTGCATACTTCATTTCACGCTTTCCTTGGACTTTACCTTCGTAGCGTTTTTTGCGACCTCGTCTTCTACACGCGCTTTCCTGCCGAACTTTCCAATTGACACATTCCCTGCGTGTCGCGTCTTGTCACTACGATCTTCCTCATCCAGCAGCCACAACAGCAGGTCTACGAATAGACACAATGCCCGACCCACGAGTCTTCATAATCCGCCACGGCGAAACAGAATGGTCGCTCAACGGACGCCACACAGGAGTTTCCGACATACCACTCACCGAAAACGGCGAGAAGCGCGTAAAAGCCACTGGCAAAGCGCTCGTCGGCGACGACAGATTGATCGTACCAAGCAATTTAGCGCATATGTATGCCCAGAACCCCTTCTTCGAACCCTTAGATACAACCCAAGAAACCCCCAAACTCTCAGCCACTGACCCCACCCACACAGCTACGTCTCGCCCCGCACACGCTCCCAACGTACCCTCGAACTCCTAAACCTCGGCTGCAAAGAACGCTACCCCTGGCACTCCACCTCGCAACCGCACACGCCTGACATCCGCACACACGCCACAATCGAAGTAACAGAAGCCGTCCGAGAATGGGACTACGGCGACTACGAAGGCCGCGTGACCTCTGAAATAAAAGCCGACCGCGAGAAACGCGGATTGGGGTCTGACTGGGACATATGGAAAGATGGGTGCGAAGGCGGCGAGAGTCCAGAGGATGTGACGGAGAGACTGGATAAGCTGATCAAGGAGCTGAGGGAGAAGTATCACCAGGGCAAGTTTGGGAAGGACGGGAAGCCGAATGATGTGCTTATCGTGGCGCATGGGCATATTTTGAGGAGCTTTGCGGCGAGGTGGGTGGGGAAGAGGTTGGAGGAGAATCCTAGTTTGATTCTGGAGGCCGGTGGTGTGGGGACGTTGAGCTATGAGCATCATAGTATTGATGAGCCGGCGATTTTGCTGGGTGGTGCGTTTGTGGTGGATGTTGTGGAGAAGGAACAGGAGGAGAAGAACGAGAAGTCGTAGGTATCTTCGTGCAAATCACCCAAGAGTCTACATCGCCTTGGGGTCTTATTAGATGTCATTGTTTGTACTGATGTTGTCTGCAGTGCACATGTTACATCACAGCAATCACCAGTAAGTGGGTTCAGTTCTTTGCATTCGTTGTCGTAGTCCCATCTGTTCTGTCTGTCTCAAACTCTGCGTATCTCATCAAGCTCCTGCAACAGCAACTTTTGGCATAGCGTTCTGATACTCTCGACTCCTCTTTTTCGCCAACATGCCGAGCTTATCGGCGTTCTTAAGCGCCCACAAGCCGAACTCACGTACCGCAAAAGCGTTCATCAGACTGTCCCGGCCATACTCGGGGTCGCTCTTGAGCTTGATCTCAGGAAAATCGCGACACAAGCCATCCAGTGCTAGCTGCGCCTTGCTGAGCGGACCCTGAGCAGCCTTCTCAACGACCTTGGCGATATCGACGGCGCGTCCATGGATCATACGGAGAGCGTCTAGATCCGAACGCAGGTTGCAGCCAACGATGATGGTCTCCTTGTCGACGAACCTGTGTAGCGCGTCCCGTGCTGCCGCCCAGCCCTTGAAGATCTTGTACCCGGCTTTTCGAGCTCCCTCCATGTCGTCCCAACTAAACAATCCGGTGACCGGGGAGTACCAATCTTTGACTTTTGCGTGCGGATCAGTACAGACAAGGTGGTTCATAAGGATTCGGCAGGTGATCAGATCAACAGCTGCTATCTTGACAACCTCGGGGCAGCCGTTTGCTAGCAGGATTTTGCTGCATGAGATGGCGACTGCGCCAAGGCCTGGTTTGGCCATGTTGCGTTCGGGGGAGGCTTTGAAGTCGCTTGACAGATACGTGGCCTTGTAATCTTCTTTCAATGCCTTTGGAGGAGGTATGTATTCGCCTTGTAGCATTTTTGGGAGATGGCACAGGCCGTCGAGCATCGTAACCACGTCGTACTGTTTGGCGGCACCGATCCGAGTCCACATAATATCGCAGGCGTTGACCTTTCCATCGTGTAGAATGAAGACATCTGATTGGATGAGCAAGCGTTGTGTCTTCGCCTGAATAGATTTGGCCTGGTCAAGCTCCGCAATGCCGCCCATGTTGATGCTGTTGGGGGCAGGAGGAGGTTGTTGGACTGGCAAGCGAGGTTGCTGCGGCATTGGACGAGCGAAGGCAGATTGCTGTTGCTGCACGGATGGTCTGGTTGAAGAGAGAGCCCCCCAAGTACGGGGAGGTGCTCCACGAGGGGCTGGACGACCTGCTTGGCCGCCACGACCTCGAGAGGAAGGAGTTTGTTGAAGCAAACCTTCTTGCCGCATTCGTTCTCGCTCGCGATTGCTGAGCATCCATGAGTCGCGGCCGGCCAAGTTCAATGCCTGACCTCCGACACCGTGAGCGTCCTGCTTGTGCTGTTTGAGGCCGGCTTCGGACCTGAAGGAACGATCACAACCACGGGTATCGCATGCAAAAGCGGCCGGATTGCTGGTATGCGTGGAGGATACATTAGACGAAATCGGGGCTCGGGGTGCCAGTACAGGTGCGTTTGCAGCCCTCATCTGGTTTATGGTGACTGGAGAGCTACCCAACCCGGTAACCGGGAGCACCTCGCGGACTTGTGTGGTCGTCGATACAGGAGTGCAACCTAGCATGTGGTTGTTGTAGTGGCCCAGGGAGCGGAAGGTGCGCTTGCAGTCGTTGCACTTGATGCCGACATCGCTATCGACGGAGTCAGATGATGATGATGCGCCATCATCGTAGTTGGGGACTACAGATGGCTCGTCGTTGGGTCTGTCGAGGTCAACGTACCCCGGGGCAACTACAGCGGGTGTCGGTGGCTGCGGCCTTGTTGTGGGGTGCTTCCAGTCGGCGCACGCACTCGCCATGTTGCTGCGATGATTACTGAATTGCTTCTGAGTAACGAACTGCTTCTGGCAACGATCGCAGTGAACCGCCATTTCGTCGATCGACGGGGTAAGCGCCGTTGTCAAGTTCGTAGATGCTGGTTGGGGAGGTACGTGACTGCTCTGTATCTGATGGAGCTCGAGGGCGTGCGAATCGTCGAAATACCAGCCGCAGGTGGCGCACACCAGCTTCGCAGTGCTGGTGTCGTCGTGATTGGCAGTGTGGTGGTTGAGCTCAGCTTTGCTGGAGAAGGACTGCTCACATATCGCACAGTGATAGGCGGCGGCCTTAGCGCGTCTTCCGCGCGCCATCACTGGTGAGATAGCGACTGGCAGTCACCGTCTTCGTTCTGTGAGGTAATTTGGCAGATCAGGCTTTGTTTGTGGGGTCAATATTGCGAGGAAGGCGCGACGGGCACGGACTGTGGGCGGGCGCGATATCACGTGCATCGCCGGAAGCTTCTGCCATTCACTGCTCATCCTTCATCTTCATAGTTAGCAGTGAGATATTTCCGAAAGCACACAAGAAAATATCAGATTACAGGTGGGCTTGCCGACTACAGGGTCATCGCGAATGAGGATACTGAATTGATACATGAGCCTGTCGTCCTTCGCGACACTGATTAGAGTATAGACCATTGACATGATGACAAACTAGCATCAGGAACAATGAAAACGCTACTCTACCTATCCAACGGCCCGACTTGATCTCGTGAGTGCACTCGGAAAGATTGAGCTACCTAGGTATAAAGTGAGCCTGGATGTCTTCGGAATACTTGGCGAGCTTGATGATCGAGCTAGTACAGAAGGCCGTAAAGCCCAGCATCAGCCTTCGTGAGTATGCTACCATATTCTTGTGATGCCTTCTTGGGAGAAGATGCCACTCTCAGCCATACCCTCGCACGAACGCAGTCAACGCGATAGATGAGCCGCATCAGCTGAAGAACTCTCCGTGCTTGGGACGCACAGAATTTGGCAGCGTATTACTGCCTTTATGAGCGATGATTACCAGAATTCTGAATTTGCTTACTAGTGTTATGTAGCGACACGACTCACCCGGAAGGTATTCGATGTAGCCAATATTAACATCTGCTAACATACAACACACCGAGTACCTCTAGGGCATCCTATGTCAGGCGCCCTCCTAACGAAACACGAGCTTCCTCGTAGAGTGACTCGATAGCGGTTCAGAGATCTAGAAGCAACGAGAAACGCGAGCCTATAGCCCGGTACCTTGATATGTGGTAGCATAGTCCATCTTGTACCCAAGGTACGCCCATCTCTTCTGCAAATGCTTCCTTTCAAACTGACCATCACAGAAGTCCAAATCACAATTCTTCCAGGTTCATATTGCCAGGTCCTTTTTGCTAGAGATCTTGGCCGTGTTCTCTTGGCGCGTATGTGACATCTCTTGCACTTTCCATGAAAGTATAGTCGACGACGGCGCAGCGAAAAGTACCCTTGGATGCACTGATATGTACGACGTGGAAAAATGCTTCACGCTTGTAACTCGCCCCAGCTGTCTGAACTCTGTTCTGACGCGCACCTCCGTTAACGCCTTACCGATGATGTCTCGGGTAGCCTTATTCGGGGCTATGAGGTCAATGAGCACATCGTCCGAGAGGAGTTGCTACCACATCCATTTGTGATCTAGATAGTCAAATCATGTTCAGGATTCCACGCGCAAAGTCAGCCCTGGAATACACACGTCGGTTTGGATGTTGAAACGTACTGAACAGCGTCTTTGTAGGCGTCTGGCAACTCTAACGCAATCATACAACTGATATTGACACATACATGCTTGCACTATCTACGCACAGCCACTTCCCTCACGCACCACCGTCAGCAGACCATCTACTAACTTCCTTGGCAACATCGCTCGCCCGAAAGAGCCTATACGAAGCTCGTGCGCTTCTTTCGTGTGGGATTCCGAGTGTCTTCGCTATACTCTGCGCCCAAAGGCGTCCACTTCACGCACTACTTCTACCCTTTGGATTCGAAAGCGTACAATCGTTTTTGGCGCGTCCGTGAACCGGCTCACAAGGGTGATGTCGCAACCTTCGATTTCGGAAGAGGGTGGAGGAGAGTACATGTAGGCGATTCGACAATATGAATAGTCATTGCGAAAATCCGTCGTATTCCTTTTGTGTAGCTGGAGTAGTTGACAAGCTACGTGATAGGATGGTGTTACGTGGAGTGCTTCCGGTTCCGAGGCTATGATGTTTTGACTGCCGTGACAGCCGGCGTATTCTTGTGTTGAGAGGCGGAGAAGGACGTATGTGTGTTGTATTGGAGGTAGTATCGAGACTGGTGTTGAAGTCGTCATTTCTGGTGTCGTAGAAGACCTTACGGGGCTAGGAGTAGGGGTCCGCCACATCCGAGACATTGGGACAGAATCGAGCTAAGCCAGTGCCTCCCCTCTGGTAGAAGAAAGGCCGCTTATACCATCGCTATAATTCTGGTTTGTTCCGCATGATTGCGCAGACAACGCCTGTTATTTGCGCAACATGGGTACAAGCACGTTGCCTGACTCCTTGGCTGAGCCACCACGTCGCTCGTGATGTTATCACAACCAACCCACCCCATGCGCCGCATCGTCGTACCTCAGGACAAGTCTGAGAAGCTCTTGCATGCCCAGCTTAGAACGTAATATCCTCTTCTGAGGTCGAAGTCTTCGGTGGCCCAGATGCTTGCCTCCAAAGCGTGCTATGGCGGAACCCAGAAGCAACTGAGTCCTTTCATTCGGCGGGAAGTCTTCGACGAAGACGTCGTCGGCAGTGAGCTTGGTCTGCAAAATTGCGGAGTACCACACGACCGGAAATGGCAACGTATGGCCGAATATTCGTATACGTGCGCAATCATCGTAGAGGTAAGTGGCGAGACGTTTCGTAGGGTTGAATTGATGATCGTTGTAGTCTGCAAGCCATGAGCCGACGTACGATGGACACAGCTCCAAGGCCTGACAGGGAAGGACGAGTTGCTGATATAGGATGTGATAGTCCGATTCTGTGTTTAAGCTGTACTGGCCGAGTCGAACGTGTCTTCGGGAGGCCCGTATGAGTTTGCAGAGAGGCAGGTACTCCTTGCGTTCTTGTTCCGTAGTCGGAGATATTATGACAGGCCTCACTTTGCCGCTGAGTGGTAAATACAGCCGATGTTCTGAAGCAAGTGCCTCGAGAAGTGCTTCCTGGCTTACTCTATACGCAAAAGCTATGTTCTCGAGGAGGAACTGGTATAGGCGTTGGGCTTTCCATAGATTGTCTGGTGCATCTTCTGCTGCGGAGTCCGGAGTGTAGGGTGGTGAGTCCATGACTTTCGAGTCAGTTGGGCGGGATATGAGTATGAGGGGAGAAACAGGGAGATAAGAACAATGTCTTGCAGAAATACTCAAACGTTCAGCATTTGTACCTGTGTTTTGACCTTGCCGAGAGTGATCCATGGTACATGCCGCTCTGACTCAGCGAAAGCGCTGTTGCTGGCATACTGTTCGGCTACTATGAGATTTTTCGCGTACGCGATTGGATGTACCGTTCTTCACGACGGGGACGAGTAGCAAAGCACTTGGAGTACGTCTGTGTTGTTAGCACCACGGCTCCGAGTTGTACCCTCCGTGTCGCCTCGCATACCACGTGTTGGACATGTGTCTCAATGATCCTGCCCCAATGGCCATGCAGTCAAGTAGAGTGTTCTAGGCAGAGATGATGGCCCGATTTGCGACATGATGCGGACCTTTGCTGAGGATCGAGCGTTCTTTGCGAACGCTTGTTACTTCGTTCTTGTTCGCGGGAAAGCAACCGAGCCAGGCAGCAGATGTCGAGGGCAAACCAACAAGCCCATGTGGGTTTGGTGGACCTCGCTGACGTGGTTCGGCGTCCAAACGTGTAAAGTCTGCCGGCACAATATCGCAGCGGGTGTCGGCCGTAACACCAAGTACAGTCGACCACATCCGCCCCACGGAGTCGGCGGAACTTGAGATTGGCGTAAGGGCTGCGATGTCCTGATAGCTGAAGAAAGGAGTTGGAGAAAACGCCACCAAGACTGCGAAACTCGCGAGGCGCTGCTCGGACACGCACGGCTAGGCAATTCACGCGCTAAGTCTCAGCTGTGGGGCTCTGCGGGGTAGCTAGCGTGCTCTCCGCAAAATTGGCAGCTGCGTCCCGTCCTCGCAGGACGCGACGGCCAAAGTTTCCTGTAGAATGCGCGCCTCTTGTGCAGTTTCGCGTCTTCATTACCCTCCAACGCCCACTTTTGATGATATCCAATACTTCTGTATGACGACACAATCAGGCTAAACGCATCTGAGATGCATGTGCATGCACCGTTTTCGGCCCTGCGTCCTATAGACCAGATAAGATGCAAGGCCAGCCTAGACGTGCGTTTTTCGACAAGGCATTCCCCAATATTGGCACGCAAAAGCCTATGAAATGCCGGCCCCTGTGGGGCTTCAGATGAGAGAGAGTTGTGCGGGGGTCGCAGAGACCACATCTTGAACACTGAACCCCAGAAGGCGCAAGCTACCCCTGGTCGTGGAGGTCGACGAAACTTGGGGATGCCGATCGTTCATAACGCGCGCCGTCCCACGTTGTTGACAGCTGCATCCTGGAATTGTTCCTCGGAATCCTTCCATTGCTTTTCGCTTCATCCTCCTCTTTCTTTTTCGGAACTTTTCAATAGCATAGTGCGGGTACAGCCGTCGTGATGGGTTTCCTCGGTATCGTCGAGGACAAGCACCTTGCCCATGTGCCGGCGACTGTAGTCCTCAGCGAGGAACAAAACACTCTCCCTGTTGTCGAAGGAACAGTGGCAGCTGCGACTTTAAAGCGTGGCACTGGTAGAGATGCAGACGTCATCTTGATACCTCAACCGTATGTGTGCCTGCAGAAGAATTGTTCGGCGCATTCCAGGCGTAACATAGTTGACACCACGTAGCTCCGAAGACCCCAATGATCCCTTGAACTGGTCGTACACCAAGAAGATGACCA